TACACTGCACAGTGTCGGTCATAGTGCTGCTCCATTGCGGCCAGTGACTTATGAAGCACCAGATGCACTATCTACATCCCACTCTGCCTCATTAACTATCTCAAAGGCACATCACTCTTTTTGCAAAGCCTGTTCTTTAGCAAAAACATGATCGAGACCTTCCTATGCTAAAGATACAAAGCAAAATATCCCATTCTTACAAAGGATACAAGGTGATATTTGTGGGCCTATCCATCTAGAATGCTGACCATTCGGGTATTTTATGGTTCTGGTAGATGCTTCGACAGGCTGGCCATATGTTGCATTATTATTCACAAGAAATGCTGCATTTGCAAAACTTCTAGCATAGATTATACATTTAAGGGCTCACCACCCTGATCACCCTATCAAGTCTATAAGGCTTAATAATACTGGAGAATTTACATCAAAAGCATTTGATGATTATTGCATGTCTATCAGGATCAATGTAGAGCCTCATGTAGCCCATGTGCATACACAAAATGGTCTTGCAGAAGCCACCATCAAAAGGCTACATATGGTGGCTATGGCACTGGTTATGCGCACCAACATGCTTATCTCTGCATGGGGTTATGCTATATTGCAAACAGCTCTACTTATTCATTTCAGACCCACAGCTGGACAACCATTTTTCGCGTACCAGTTGGTAACTGGATATGAGCCTAACATTTCACACTTACGCATATTTGGTTATGCAGTGTATGTGCCCATTGCGTCCCCACAGCGCACCAAAATGGGTCCTCAGAGATGATTGGGTATTTATGTTGGATATAAAACTCCAACAATTATCCGCTATTTGGAACATTTGACAGCAGATCTATTTACGTCTAGATTTGAGGATTGTCACTTTGATGAGATAGTCTTCGGGGAAGATAAGAAAAAGGATTTTCTAGGGGAACGAAAGGAATTGTCGTGGTTTGTCCCTACACTATCTCATTTTGATCCCCGCACTTCACAATGTGAAAGTGAAGTAAAAAGAATAATCAATCTTCAGAACGTAGCAGATTCGATGCCTGATGCGTTTGCTGATATTGCTAAAGTGACAAGATCACATATATCAGCTGCAAATGTGCCTGTAAGGTTAGAAGTCCCCAGTAAGGGGCACATCGCCGTAGATAGAGGCACTGCAACCACACATGGTGGAGATGTGGTTGAGGGCGTGGCTCTCAAAAGGAAGAGGGGGAGGCCACCTGGTTTGATCGACACCCGCCCAAGGAAAAAGAGGGCGGATGCGGCACAACCTGATCCATTAATCGTCAATGAAGAGAATCCCTCTCATGAGATTATCTCTGATTATAGTCATGTCCATGAATCATTACTTGAGGATGCTCTGATGTTTGATATGATCACAAAGAACAAAGAAATCTTAATGGATTATGAGAGTGCGTATGAGTTGATGGAAAGATCTTCCACACACATTGATGATATATTTGCATATGTTGTTGCTCAAGAGATCATAGAGCACGATGATATCGAACCATGCTCTATTGCAGAATGTCAACAAAGAGTAGATTGGCCTAAATGGAAAGAAGAAATCCAGACAGAACTTGATTCTCTGGCAAAAAGACAAGTATTTGGTCCAGTAGTACTAGCCCCACTAAATGTAAAGCATGTAGGACATAAATGGGTTTTCATCAGAAAAGCGTAATGAGAAAAATGAAGTCCTGAGATACAAGGCTCGCCTTGTAGCACAAGGTTTCTCACAACGCCCTGCAATTGACTACTAGGAGACATACTCTCCAGTAATGGATGTGATAACGTTCCGCTACTTAGTGAGCTTAGCATCCGAAGGATTGAAAATGCAGCTTATGGATGTGGTTACAACATATCTCTATGGGGATCTTGATTCAGAGATATATATGAAAGTGCCTGATGGCCTTCCATTGCCCAAGTACATATCTCTATGGGGATCTTGATTCAGAGATATATATGAAAGTGCCTGATGGCCTTCCATTGCCCAAGTCAAGTGACTCTAAACCACGGAGTGCCAGAGATATATATGAAAGTGCCTGATGGCCTTCCATTGCCCAAGTCAAGTGACTCTAAACCACGGAGTGCATTTGCAATTAGATTGAAACGCTCACTTTACGGATTGAAATAATCTGGACGAATGTGGTATACCCGTTTGAGTGACTACTTTATTGGGAAGGGATATAAGAATGATGAACTATGCTCCTGTGTATTTATAAAGAAAACAAGTTCCGCATTTGCAATTGTAGCTGTATATATTGATGATATGAACATAATAGGTACTCTTAATGAAATAAGATAAACCGTGAGCTATTTGAAATCCAAATTTGAGATGAAGGATCTTGGGAAAACTCGGTTCTGTCTAGGCCTTGAACTAGAACAATGAGCTTGTGGAATACTAATTCACCAGTCTGCATACGTCCAAAAGATGCTCCAGCGATTTAACATGTATAAAGTGCACCCTGTTAGAACTCCCATGATCGGTCAAAGTTTGGATATAAAGAAAGATCCATTTTGTCCAAGGGAAGATGACGAAGAGCTGTTGGGAGCTGAAATTCCCTACCTGAGTGCAATAGTCACATTATTGTACTTAGCTCAAAGCACTCGACCAGATATTGCTTTCTCAGTGAACTTGTTAGCTAGATTTAGCTTAGGACCAACGCAACATCACTAGAATGGCATCAAGAACATATTTCGATACCTAAAAGGAACCATTGACATGGGTATGTTCTTCCCCTATAGAGAGACAAGAGGGATCACAGATGATACGATAACCCCTAAAGGAAATGTTAAGGGCAAGAGCGCCACCCCCTACACCAAAACATCAAAAATGTGTTGGTTGGTTTTGCAGATGCTGGGTACATATCTGACCCACATAAAGAACGCTCCTAAACTGGTTATGTATTTACCATGGGGAACATGACGATATCCTGGAGATCTACCAAGCAAACTCTTATAGTTACCTCCTCGAACCATTCAGAGATCATTGCCCTACATGAAGCAGTTCGCTAGTGTATATGGTTAAGGTCTATCATCACACATATTTGAGGGACTAGTGTTTTGAGTTCTACCACTGAAGAGACCACTTGTATTTATGAAGACAATGCAGCTTGTATTGAACAGATGAAGCTAGGTTATTCAAAGGTAATAATACAAAGCATATATCACCAAAGTTTTTCTATAACCAGCAACAACAGACTTTCCTCAAGATTCAAGCGAATCAAGTAAGCTCTGAAGAAATGCGGCAGATTTGTTTACCAAGTTATTACCTAAGGCCATCTTTTGAGAAACATGTGAGAAACATAGGGATGCAGAGATTTTCTAAACTACCTTGATTATACAGATTAGGGGAGAGGTGTAGACTTTAGGGGGAGTCTCAACACACACATATTATCATCCTTTGTATTAGGTGTGTTGTGTTCTTTTTCCCTTCGACCAAGTTTTATTTTTCCCACTGGGTTTTGTTACTTGGCAAGGTTTTTAACGAGGCAACAACTCATGCACCATTTTACTCTTTAACTTGGCACTGTTAAAGAAAAAACACAATTAGTGTACCTTCGTCAATGTAATTGATAAAGGATAATTTAATTCTTCATGTATTTATGAAACCCTATATTTGACACCCTATATATAGGGGATTCCTGATGAAATAAAGTGTGACCAATTCTTTTCTTCTTTTAATATAAAGCATGATGTGGGCAGAGGGATTTTTGTAAACCATATTGTATAAATTTTAAATTTCTAATAAAACATGTTTTATCTGTGTGTGTGTGTGCAGCATCCGACATTCTAAGAGTCAATCTGGTGATACTAGAGCTTATAATAAGTTACTTATATCACTAGCTTATAAAAACACGTTATGAATGCGGCTCAAAATATTCATCTTATAATTTATAGATTAAAAGCTGCTTCCAGGTAAAATGTTTGGTAAAATTGTGCCTAAAGATCACCGTCAAAAGATAATGGCCATGTGGGGTATATAAACTATAAAATAAATAAGAAAAGGATGCTGGTTTTAAAAATATCCTGAGGTTGTTTATAAAAGCACCATTTTTAAAGCGGAAACAATTTCAATTAAGCATGATTTTTTTCACCAAACATCATTATTGTTTACTTTTCAAAAAATAAGCAGGAGAAAATTGACTTATTCCACATAAAAATTATCCTAAAGAAAGGGGGAAAATGCGTGAGTTAGTAGCTCAACCATGAATCATCATTTGAGAATGCACGCATAATCAAGCATGATTAATGGTGTGTTTGGATTTCAATGGGGTTTAAGGGAAGTTAAGGAAAACTAGTTGAGAGAATGAAAGGGAAGGGAAGGGAAGAGAGTTCTCTTCCCCTTGGTTACACCCCAGGGGGTAACAAATTTTATACTATTAGGGGGTGAACCAAGGAGAACTAAGCTGAATAACTTCACCTCCTAAATGTTCCCAAACAAGGTGAATGGTTCCCCTAACTTCCATTCACCCTTATTCCCCTCAATCCAAACAAGCCCTAAGAAAAAGGAAACAATTTATTTCATATATATCACCCTTAAAATAGGGTCATTCTATAAAAATCATATTTAATTTTAAATTTATACATATATCATATTTAAAGTATTTTATGTTGTAATCAACCACCTGACTCACTTTTATGTGAAGTTTTTTCGGTTTTGCTGTAATAATTAGTTGTCAGATAATACTAAGTGCATTTGAGAGATTATCCTTAATTAAGTTCAGTAGTAGGTTCAATTATCAAAAAAAATTAATTAAAAAATAGGTCCAAATAATTAATTACAATAAGAAAAATACTTTAAAACTAGTTTATTTATAAATTAAAAATAAAAGTTGGTTTCTATGGGCAAACGCTATTTTAAAGTTGCTTTTTCTGTGGAAAAAAAACCCAGAAAGGTCAAATATCATAACCAACCGTCGATGTATACCGTCACACGTCACTCCTTCCATAACGAACGGCCAGGATAGTAAATCCTTCATTTAGCACCACCGATGGCCGCCACGTTGCGCCCAAACTCCATTTCGTTGCAGCTATCGCACTTTCACCTGAACTTTCTGCTGCTTTTTTCCTACAAAACACCCCCTTTTCGATCATGGGGGTTTTACCCTATTTTTATCAATTTTAATCGCCAGGTATGTGACTTTCTATGCAATGTCTGTTCTCGATTCTGAAGTTTTGATCTTTGTTGTTTCTATTGAGGAAAGACCTAATTTTGCCCCTTGCAATTGGGTCAGATTACGATTTCTCGATCCTGACCCCAGCGCTCCGTCGATGATTTTGATCACCTGGTAAGCGATTTTTACTTGAAAAGCTGATCTTGATTCTAATGTTTCGATCTGTCTCTTATTTTTTAGAAGAGAACTAATTTCCCCCCTTGTAATTAGGTCAGATTACGATTTATAGATCTCAAACCCTAATCCTTATTGCTTGTAAGTGATTCTATTTTCAAAATCTGATATTGATTCTAAAGTTTCAATCTTTCTTTTTTTATATATATAAATGACCTAATTTCCCCCCTTGTAATTAGGGCAGATTACGATTCTAGATCCCAAACCTTAACCTTAATAAAACTCCATCGATGGACGGCAACAAAGACGACGCATTAAAATGCCTGCGGGTTGGAAAAGAAGCACTTCAATCGGGAGACAGAACCCGAGCCCTAAAATTCCTCAACAAAGCTCGCCGCCTCGATCCCTCTCTCCCCATTGACGATCTCTTATCCACTGCCAAAGAATCCTCTCACAATCCTAAAACTGATGCCGAGAGCTCAACCGCTGGTTCATCTTCATCGTCACCTTCATCAAGTTCAGCTAGGGTTAGGGTTTCTTCAAAGGGATCAGCGGCAAAAGATTACACTGAGGAGCAACTGACTATTGTTCACCAGATCAAGAAGCAGAAGGATTACTATCAGATCTTAGGATTGGAGCGCAGTTGTACAGTTGAAGATGTTCGAAAAGCCTATCGAAAGCTCTCTTTAAAGGTTCATCCTGATAAAAACAAGGCTCCGGGAGCCGAGGAAGCCTTTAAGGCAGTCTCCAAGGCTTTCCAGTGCCTTAGCAATGAGGAAACTAAGAAAAGATACGATCTTGTTGGGTCCGAGGAGCCAAATTACGGTAGAGCTCCTTCAAGGCAACATTCACATGGATTCAATGGATTTAATGGATTCTATGATGATGAATTCGATCCCGATGAGATCTTCAGGAATTTCTTTGGTGGAGGGCCTCGAGCAACCACTCCTTTTGGTACTTTCCACTTTAGAACAGGCGGCATTAATGTCCCAAATGGTAATGGAACGAACAATTCCGGTAATGGAAATCTACGGGCGATTATTCAAATGTTACCAGTTATTCTTTTGATTCTAGTGAACTTCCTCCCGTCATCAGACCCTGTATACACATTGTCTCGTAATCATCCTTATGTACATAAGATTGAGACACCAAGGGGAGTGGCTTATTTTGTTAAGTCTTTAGCTAAGTTCGAAAAAGAGTACCCTTATGATAGTTCACAGCGCAAGGATTTGGAGAGGCGTGTTGAGAGGGATTATGTTGGTGTTGTTTCACAGAATTGTCGGGTTGAGATGCAGCGATATCATTGGGGTTTGGTGCGCGAGACGCCACATTGTGACATGCTTGAGAAGTATCAGGCAACAGCTTAGTTTTATCTTTACTGGTATTTACATCTTTTACCCTTTTGTGCACCTTATTTCCGTATCGGTGTATTATGATTTAGTTCAATGCCCAACCTAGCAGTTAGTAAAATGTGACATCTAACTTGGTTTCTTATAGACTAAATTGTAACTGTGTTATCTTTCTATTGACCAGGAGTAACCCAAATATACTTGTGTAAATATTCATTGATATTTGTTTCGAACATATAGGAAGGATAAGAATATTTAAATGTTTCTACTACAATAATTAGTAATTTTTGGTAAGAAATGCTGCATTTTGTCTTAACCTTTGATTATAATCAAGCTTCTTTTGAGCTCATCCCTTTGCCATAGTTCTAAGGTTCCTTTTCTTTCTTGACTTATCATTTATTCTTGGATTCTGTACATAATGATTGGATGTGTCTTCGATGTATTGTGTTTTGTGATAAAACCAAAACTCTTTTGACAACCTGAATGATAGCCAAGTCATTTAGTGAACCCAGTGACACCATAAGTCTTACTCAACCTTGAGTTTAGTCCTATTGTGATTGGTCTACCGATATGAAGTTCTGAATTGCCTAAATCACCGTAACAACTTTACCGCTGGAAATGCTGAGAGGACTTGCATGTAGTGCTGTAATTCAGTTAGGTAAAATGTTCAGGGTTAGAAGTAGTTTAACCCCCCTGCCTTTACCTAAAGAACCATTCTTCTACTACCCACCTTTGAAACTCATTTCTTGGTAAAGAAAGCTATTGATTGTTATGAGCTATTGTGTCTTGCAGACAAAAAATTTGTCTTTATTAGGGGATATTAGTAGAAGCAGGAAAATGCTTCTATTTGAATTCCTTACTTAGACAATTTTGTAATAATTTGTTAATTATGTCGATGAAAAGGGTTTGCTGTTACTAAGCTGAAATCCGGTTCATCAAGATTCCACTTTAGACCATGAATACCAACTCAGTTGTTCACGAAAAATAACTTCACAACAGCTAACTAATATTAAGCCTCAGCAGGTCATGTTTATGTCCTAATTCATTGCCCTGTATATATGGACACACATATAGCCGATCATAAGATTTTAAGAATAGTTGTCTAAATACAGAGGCTAGACAGTTTGGATAACAAACTTGAAATGTCAGGTAGTTGCAAGCAAGTCTTAGGGAAGAGACGCTCATGCAACTTCAGCAGCAAATAATTTTTCTTCTTATTCCTTTCAACAAAATAGATCATGCTAAGAAGAGTTCCTACTAGACAATTTACTCGTATAGCATGATAAGCTCATTCCAGATGCTAATATCTTGTTTACAAATTATGGCCTGCAATAGGTAAACAAGTAACTTTAATTCCAATGAACTTTTTATTAGCTATATCAAATAAGCTTATTAGTCTCCATTATGGAATATTTGTATTAAGATTAAATAATCACCGGAACTGAGCATAAAGTTACTGTCAGTGGAAGAAAATGAATTAGGAGATAAATTGGCTCGAATGTCAGAGACCCGTCAAAAAACTAACAAAAGCTGTTGGCAGGAATAGTCTATTTAATGGTGTAAGGATGATACATCAGAGGCCTTTTCTTTGATTGTTTGGGATACAAGCATGCAAAAGTTTCCTCTTTTGTTTTAGAAGTAGTACTCTATTTGAGGTATAATCGTGAAAACTAATTTCATGGAAATGCTTGTACAAGTAGTAAGTGGACTCATTTATGGAGCTGCATTTTGCATGACAATTTATTTCAGAGTATGTTTTTGGCTTTAACTGATTTCTGTGACTGGGACTTTTTTGAAGATTTCTTTTTAGGTATTTCTGGTTTAGTATTAGCAGGATTGGATTTGTTTGGGAATTTGCTTTTTTGGTATTATTGGTTTGGGATGGATTTTGCCTTTTTTTTTTGTCTTTGTTGTGCCTACAGGGAAAGGTTCCACATGTTTATTCACAAGGAAAAGTTCGATACGCTTGAGTCTTGTAGTAACAGAGCAATATAGAATCGTAGTACATTTTAACAATTATCATCCTATATATACTTGACCAACTCCCATCCCAAGGAATCTTAATCGAAAAAACTTACATGCTAGGTTCGATTTGCTCGTCTCTTGGTTCTATAATCCTTTTGTCTCACCCTCTATAAGATGAATTGGAACTGTGAATAAACTGAATTGTAAACTTTTCTTTTTGCTTGCCAAAAAGGTTACTAATCTGATTTCTTGCTTCTTTCCTGGTGATTTTTCTTTTGCAGAAGGTGGAGAAGATATCATTTATATCCTACAGCTGGTCCAGGATTAAGACTTTTTGAAGGATTGGATCTGTTCTCTCCCAAGAGAATTCTACCTCTTAACATTTGCGTCTTCAGACGAATCAGTTGAAATATATTTTCCTGAACATATATTTTTCTCCTTGATCGTACGGTACCCTACAAGTATTATTGCCTACAAGTAGTATTGCTGTAAAATCAGATTACGACGATAGCCAACTTTGTTTTGGCTAATTTTTTACCTTAAACCATTACCATTTTTATGCTGTCATAGTAATAAATGTGTGAAATCTTCCTTCTTCTTGACGAGAATCATTATCCAGAGCTGCAGCACCTGCTGTATTTGAATTTTGTTATGATGCATATGTTTGTACTTGAGTTCCGCACTAGTTAAGATTCACTATATTGGAAAATGAGACTGCAATTCATGAAAGTGAACTTTCCTTTTGCTTGTTGTACTCAAAAGTAATTGTAATTGTCATTTAGAGATTCATCACTTACATGCTACTTCTTCTGATAACCAACCCATGCTACTATTTCTGTCTTCCTCCAATTCACTCATATCTAACCCTAAACATTCAGCAACCCTACAAATCTCCTCAGCATGAGGATGACTCCGATCACCAGATGAAAACTTGTAGCAGTGTATCTCATCTCTCATCCCTACATCCACCCAACTAAACCCTACCTCTTTCTTCACCCCTCTCTCCCTCATCTCCTTCCTCACCCTCGCTGCCATCCCCCACTCCCCCCTCTCCGCGTACAAGTTTGACATGAGCACGTATGCCCCTGATTCCTTTGGCTCCATCGCCATCAACGCCTCTGCTACCCTCTCCCCCATCTCCACCTCCCCGTGAAACCTACACGCTCCCAACAAGCTTTGCATCGCCGAAAACCCTAACCCTAGTGGTATTCTCTTTGCCATAGCCTCGGCCTCTGCCAATCTCCCCGCTCTCCCCAACATATCAACAACACAACTATAATGCTCCGGCCATGGTTCTAGTTTATATTGTGACACCATCGTGTCAAAGATGCTTATGCCGATATCAACCCTCCCTTTGCCTCCACATGCCATGAGGACCGCGAGGAAGGTGATATTGTCGGGCTCTAGCCCGGACCCCAACATTTCTTCAAACAGGCGCATTACGGCCTGGAAGTCACCGTGCTTGGAATGTGCAGAGATTATCGCAGTCCAACTTATCAGGCTTCTATGGGTAGTATCCTGGAACGCCTTTTGGGACTCTAGGATGCTCCCGTGTTTTGAGTACATGTCGATGAGAGCGCCAGAGACGTACTCATTCGTGCTGAGACCGAGCTTGAGGATGCGGCAGTGGCATTGCTGGCCATAGGTTAACGACATGGTTTGTGCTGCGGTTATCACGCTGAGAATGCTCCCGAATGTGTATTGATTCGGCATGCAGTGAGTGAGCAATGAGGAAAAGGCGCGTAGGGCTTCTTCGCATTGGTCATTTTGTGCGTAGCCTGAGATGAGTGAGTTCCAAGAGATTACTTCTTTATAGCTCATTTCGTCGAAAATCTTTCTTGATTCTACAGTGTAGCCTAACTTGGCGTACATGGTTATAAGACTGTTCGAAACATTTACCTCCGACAAAATCCCAGTTTTGAAGCAGATCCCATGAATCATATTTCCTATTGCAAGAGAATCTTCAGGAGATACAGAGTAGATCAATGCGATAAACGTAACCTCATTAGGCTGAACTCTATCAAGTTTCATACTGTTAAAGAGCGGTGCTGCATTATTCCCATCTATCGACATCATTGTAGTCCAAGAAACAACATTCCTCTCTCTCATGTTGTCAAAAACCCTAACTGCACAATCACTTGACTCAGTTTTTTGGTACATTGACATGAGAACATTTGCAACAGAGACATGCTCATCGAGCCCAACCTTCATCGCGAAGCAATGGACTTGACACCCGAGATCAAACATTCTCTCTTGCCCACAAGCCGAGACGACGCTCGCAAGCGAAACATGATCGAGCCTAAACTCTTCTCGGCTCACCATCTCAATAAAAACCCTAATTGCCTCGTGCCCATAATCCCCTTCTTGGGTTAATCCAGAAATCAAAGCATTCCATGACACCAAGTCTCTGTTCGGCTTTTCATCAAACACTTTCCTTGCATCCTCAACGCACCCATTCCTCAAATACATTGTAATAAGAGAATTCCCCACAAAGACATCCGAATCGAACCCAGATCGAAACACAAGACAATGAATCTGCCGACCAAAACCCACCTCATATAAGTCAGCGGAGAATGAGATTGCCAGCGTGAAGCTAACAGCATCAAAAGAGACGCCTGACCTATTCATTTCCAATACAAACTGTAATCCGTTGACCCCCCATAAGCCCGAGAGGATCGTGTTCCAAGAAACGACATCCGGGTCTTGGAGCGTGCTAAAAATTTTGTAGGCGAGGTCGAAGGAGTTGGATTTGGTGTACATGTTGATGAGGGAGTTCCGGATGAAGGAGCGGTACCCGAAGAGGCCAGAGGTGATGGCGAGGGCGTGGAGTCGGGGACCTCTGACAAATTCACTTATCAATCCTCTCCAATAGGATGATAAGTCCACAAAGTTGCTCCAATCGTAACACACATCCTGTCACGTTAACACTACACCTCTGACAAAAATCCACTTATCGACTCTCCCCAATAGAGCGATAGGTCCATAAAATACTGTTAGGTTAACATCACACCTCTAACACAGAGGATTTGACGGTGGCAGCGAATGCGGTGGGATTGAGGGTGAGATTGGAGTTGATGGTTCTTTGTGGAATTTCGTCGAACAGGTTGTGGGTTGAGAAGAGGCGTACGGATTTGAAATGGGATTTGGCGGGAGTGAGAGGGAGGAGACAGCGGTTCATTATGGCGGGAGCATGAGTGGGATTGGTCGGTTCGGGTTAATTATTGGCCTGCGACTTGGATCCAATTTGAAACTGAACTCAGAAAAAGAGACTAGTTCGGAACTTCGGATTAATTATTGGATCGGGTTTGAAATTAAATACACACAAGCCAAATTCAGAAACCTCCTTCGGACGATTATCAGATAGCCCCCTTAACTCTAGGGGTTATCAGACAACCCTCTTTTAACTGTAAGAGTTGTCCGAAAACCCCCATAAAAGTGAACTATAATTTTCACTAGGAGTGTATTCTGTCCGCATATGGCTCGGATATGATGCTTACCATATCCATATCCGTATCGGCTTACCCATCTCGGATACAGATACGTATATACATCGGTAAGAAAAATTCATATTCATATCCGCTAAAATTAGATACGGTTACGGATATACATGCAGATATAAGCATATATGCATACAGATACAAAACAGATATGAGAAAACTAGATAGTATTGAGAAAAACATAGTTCATGTGATGATACAAAACAGATATGAGAAAACTAGATAGTATTGAGAAAAACATAGTTCATGTGATACAAAAGAGTTTATTAATATGTGGATATGAGAAAACTAGATAGTATTGAGAAAAACATAGTTCATGTGATACAAAAGAGTTTATTAATATGTTCATTATAACTGAAAAGTTAAGATTAGACATCTTGATCATCAAAATTAAACACAAATCCATAATCTAAAAATCGAAACTATCGTAAGAGTATGACTAATATGTCTTCAAATATTTCGGATACGGATACAGATATTTCACTACAAAACCAAATCCGTAACCATATCCTAGATACAGTTACAAATATTTCCTCGGATACGGATACGGTTTAGCATCCCTAATTTTCATTAGTAAAAATTATCTGCTTGCGCGATTTTACCCACCCATTTGGAACTAACGGTTAACATTGTTGGGGGATTTTCTAATCTGATAACACTGGAACTTAAGGGTTTTTTTTTATGTTTGAAAGTTGCAAGGGGTTACCTGATAACCGTTCAACTTTTGTAAAAGATAGAAAATTACGGTTGAGAAAATGACAACTTCTTGAGTTTTTGTATGGAACTAAATTACCAAATTGGTATCTTTTGTTACCCCCTTAACTGATTTGATATTACAAAATTATCTGATAACTTTTTCGTATTAAAAGTATATCAAATGTAAAATTAGACTTTTTTCGTTCACGGAAATAAAAAACAGAGAGAAAAATTGCATGTACGATGATTATTAATATTTAATTGAATGAGAACATGTTCTTTTGCTGTCAATATGTTTGGAATTGACAAAATTGTCCCCAAATTTTCACCTGCGGCAAAGAAAAATGCATGATTGCAGAATTAGTGGACTTTTAATACCAAAAAGCCACTTGGGAAACTCTTAATACCAAGCTAGTTAATAGGGGTTAAAAAAATATCTTTCGGTAATTTAGACTTTGTGACAGCCCATTTGGGGCTATTTGGTTAATAAATGTATAGTATTTCAGTTATTAACCACCATTCCTATAACAATTTTAACTTGAGGCTTACTCATTTATAAATCAATATAATCCACCATTCCTAAATAGATGTGGGTATAAAAATCTGATGCCAAAAGTATGAAAGCATTTCTCAATTGCTTACCTCAAATATTCTGAACACAGGAGAAAACTAAATGATAGCCATACAAAGTTATGTTACATTACATTACGTCAATATAAGTCATCATATACACGCAAGATCGGGATCCTCTCCAATTAGGTGGTAATAGGAGATGATCCAATTCTCTAAGTTCTCACTATTTATATCACTTCCAGCGAGTGAGATCATGTCACATTAAACTTTATTTTTATCTTAGAAAACACTGTGGCCTTGAAGACCACTAGAAAGTTCGAAAACCACTATAGTCAAAATCACTATTTGTGATGGTGAAAATTTTAGGTGGCATGATCTCATCCATTGAGATTAAGATAGATATTAAGGATTGAAAGAATCGGACCCTCTCCCATTACCGTTTAATTGGCGAGGATCTGAATCCATACATACAGACGTTAATATAAAAGGCAAACATTCTACCGATCACCTTTCCGTTACATACATATGCAAGGAACATAAGTAGTTACAAGTATGGACAGCGGAAAGATCTGCTGACAGAGTAACAGCTCTGCAAGAGGATAAAGAGACTGAAGTTAACCCTCCGTGCATAGTACCTTCCACATGTATCGAGTTTTTACGGCTAAAGTATACAAGTTTGTTTGGTTCGCTATAACTGCAAAACTTGCAACTACAATTGCATGCAACTGCAAATTTGGGTTACTGCCGCGACTAATAAATATAGTTGCAAACTGCAGGTACAAAAAAACTCCTAACGACTCGCACAGATCAAAAAAGTTTCTAACGACTTGCACAGATTTTGACGGACGTTACTCAAAATCGTAACCTTTTCCACACCAAAAGGAGTTTCAAACAAGTAACAGCCGGCTTGTCACAGGTTATGGTTTTAACTTGGAGTAGATGAATATGTATGGTATCACCAGGAGAGAGTAGAATTACCAGGATTAAGCTTTCGTTACTATTTGGGTGCACTTGTCTTTGATGGGCCTGCTCTCTCGACCATCACATCATATAGTTGCTTCCCGTTCTACACAAAAAATAAAAATAAAAACAAAATCTTATATTTACAGTCCAAATCTGAAATAAAGCTTCAGCTTCTTATTGCAACATGGCTACTTACAAATATTACTGGAAAGAAGTGAACTTGCCCTTCTGGCTTTGTTTGTGTCTCCTTGAAGTACACTAAAATTGGAAAATTTGGCCACCAAAGCTCCCAGTTAACAAAACTAGAATACCTGTTGAAAACTTAACTTAGTCATATTTTGGAACCAGCTTTTCTAAAGACTAGCTGAAGTAAACAAGTTCACTCACTTCCACCGATTCTTGCCACCCACGAAAACATTTTCACCAGATTCCTGAAGTTTACCCCCAACTTTTACCTCCTACAATTACACATCTAATATATCAAATTATAGAATCATAGGTAACTAAAATTGTAAAGATTTAAAACATAAACTAAATGGCATATTATTCCACAGAGTTATCATCATATATGCACGTCTGATAGTTGCTCCACTATCGGAGGATAGTTCAAACTAATGCATACTTTCAGGATGAAGTAAACGAACCAGGGCTTCTTCATCGAAAACGAACCTCACTCTAGTTGTCTGAAAGACATTCAAAAATGAATTAGCCGGTTGATTAGGAGACATAACAAACTCAAAACTAAATATATGACACATAGGCTCATGAAAACTAAGTCTAAGAGAAGTATTCTACAAACAGAAGATCACCAAACTACCATAATTAAGATTTCATGATAAGGACATACCGCAATAGAGAACTACCATATCAAATGCAAATTAAAAGTGCCATAAACTTAAAATGAAGAGGAAAATCGGTCTACTCTCTACATAGTAAAAAATAAAAAGTTATACATGTGTTGCGTGTGCCTGTATTCACGCATACATACACATCAATATACATTATACATATACCTTCATGTACGTGTACGTGTACACGTGTGCGTGTGTGTGCGTTTGCGTGTATTTGTGCGTGTAGGTATATGGATGTGTACGTGTATGTGTATATGTAGATGATATATGATTTGCAACAATGAGGGTGAAATTTTAAAGCATGCTTCCCCCAATACTGAGAGGAAAGGTATCCTAAAGGCCTGCAAAAATGATAAAGAAAAGAAAATAGAAAAGAAAAGAAAAGAAAAGACAAGAAAAGAAAAGAAAGTTCATCTCAGACTTTATATTTTACCTGAAATAGTAGAAGCAATCCAAGAAGACCAATGGTAGCAGCTGGCAATAGATTGTCTTGGGATGCAAATCCACCAGCTATGCCTTTTTATGCAATTAAATCAGCAGCAAGAAGCACGAAATTAGTCGAAAATAAATTGGCTTGAAATGTTTTCAAAGTACCATGAACAAATCTAAAAAACTAACCAAGTAAAACAACTGGAATTCTGTAGTCTGGTTCAGGGACTATAACTTCTCTTTTTGTGGCCTTTCTTCCAGCCCCAAACTGAGATAAAACAAAGAATATACATCATGTCAACCTAATGAACAATATCACCAATTCAGCTTGCTCTTTCTGAGCTAAAAGAAATTAGAGTAAAATCTACATTTTAAAATTTACACTATGTCGAGTGTATCTTTAATTATCAAACTGCTTCTTAAATTTAGTTTTCTGCTATTTACTATATGACATCACGTGTTTTTGCAACAGAAGATATGAAGATGTTTTCTCCATAGTATATATTGCCAGGGATTCTGACCTAGTAGAGTAGAAAAAAATTGAAGCTAAAAGGAAGTTTCTTCAGAGGATGCGAGAAAGAGGCAATTTCAGAGGATTTATCATGGGCTCTTTTGTTAATCATAAAGAAAGGATGTGAGAAAGAAGTTTCTTAAATTTTGTCTAAAGTCTAAATCGCTATAGCAACATTTGAGATGTTTTTTTGAGGTTAAATTGTTACTTTCATGACCAAGATTTTCCAAGAACATCTCAGGAAAACAGTCGAATGCTACGTTGATGATTTGGTTGTGAAAAGTCGTAACAAAGAAGATCACATCAAGGACCTGAAGACGATGTTCGATCTCATGAGGAGTCATCAATTGAAGATGTTGGGATGCAAATCCACCAGCTATGCCTTTTTATGCAATTAAATCAGCAGCAAGAAGCACGAAATTAGTCGAAAATAAATTGGCTTGAAATGTTTTCAAAGTACCATGAACAAATCTAAAAAACTAACCAAGTAAAACAACTGGAATTCTGTAGTCTGGTTCAGGGACTATAACTTCTCTTTTTGTGGCCTTTCTTCCAGCCCCAAACTGAGATAAAACAAAGAATATACATCATGTCAACCTAATGAACAATATCACCAATTCAGCTTGCTCTTTCTGAGCTAAAAGAAATTAGAGTAAAATCTACATTTTAAAATTTACACTATGTCGAGTGTATCTTTAATTATCAAACTGCTTCTTAAATTTAGTTTTCTGCTATTTACTATATGACATCACGTGTTTTTGCAACAGAAGATATGAAGATGTTTTCTCCATAGTATATATTGCCAGGGATTCTGACCTAGTAGAGTAGAAAAAAATTGAAGCTAAAAGGAAGTTTCTTCAGAGGATGCGAGAAAGAGGCAATTTCAGAGGATTTATCATGGGCTCTTTTGTTAATCATAAAGAAAGGATGTGAGAAAGAAGTTTCTTAAATTTTGTCTAAAGTCTAAATCGCTATAGCAACATTTGAGATGTTTTTTTGAGGTTAAATTGTTACTTTCAAGTATGGGGAAAATCATCATATATTGCCCAATGAAAAATTGCCAAAAAAACAAAAATGATATTGAGACCATATCATTCCACGGCGCTTACAAAAGTATAAATCGAATGTATTGGCCATGTCGGGGATATTTAAAATAATGGTTCTGTTACACACCCAAAAGCTGGGGGTTAAGTGTCATTTTTAAAGTTCAGGGAATCTCAGAATGGGCTAATATATAAGGGGGATTAAGTGAAAATTACCCTTATATTAAAGCACAGTGAAGAGTAATACAAATAAGAGAATGGAATGAATGACAAAAAGAAATGATTATACCAACCATTGAAGTAATTGTAGAAAGATTTCCATTTCTGTACGTAGTCTTTTTACCAGTTAAGATCTTCCCATACAAAGAATTACTGCACAGCGAGTTCTCAATGCTCACATTTCCACCTGCAAATGAAAATTTACCAAACAAACCAAGTACCCAATTTCCCTTAAAGGCCGGATATTATGATATTTTATGGAGTTAAATTTAAAGATTCAAAATTTGTGCCTCTCACCGTTCCCTCTGATAATGGACTTCGTACCCTGGTTAGTGCTTGCCTTCTGAAAAAAAAGAGAAAGAGAAAAAGGTGACGTTTTTCTTCTTAAAGATGCAAACTTTACTCCTAAAGATACGATCTATATAGTTGGCTAACCTTGACAGCGAAGGAATTTGATGATTTGTTAGGGGCACCAAGGGAATTTGAGGCGGAGCAGCACAATGCGCTCGCCATTGAAAGCTGAGGTGAGAGAGAGAGAGTGAGAGAGGAGATGAGGATCGATTGAAAGACGCAGGGAAACTCTGCTGCTTACTTTAGGGAAAATTTCAGATATGCCCCCGAAACTTTGGTCCATTATAAGATAACCCAAAAACCTATGAAGATGTCACTTAAGCCCCAAATTTTGAGACGTCCGCAAAATACCCATAATGTTGGCAATTATTTTAACATTCCCCCGAACAGCGTAATGGGGTGTCTGAAATTTTATCAAAAGGTAATGAGGATTTTCCGAAAGTAATATTGAAAGTTTTGGGTTTTTTTTGAAAATGATATTTAAAAGTTTTTGGGGGTGCTCTGAGAATGATATTGAAAGTTAAGAGGGATGTTGAAAAAAGATTGGGGTTTATCCCTTTGATGCTTTATGAACGGTCCAAAAGTTCAGGGGGTTACATCACATTGCCAAAAGTTTGGGGGCATGACCTCAAAAGGAGCAAGGTTTGTGAAATTTACCCTTTAGTTAACCCAATATTGATCATTTTTAAAAGGGTGTTTGAGTAAATTCAGTTCGCCTCGTACTTTCTTGTTATTCCCTTTTTTTAAATAAAAATAAAAATATGCTATTTTCGAGATTAGATGCTTCGAATCGTATAATATGTTTTTTTCGCCGCGGCAAAGTTTAGATTTGAACTGTTCATGTATGACTCAAATCATGCTTCAGCACAAAAATAAAAAATAAAAAAACTTTAAAATAGGATAAAAATATATAAATTAGCTTTCAAGTTCAATTTATATAGAAACCATCTTAAAGGAAGTTTTGGTTGCAATCGACCACATGTACTTATCTTTTTGGTTTAATTTTTATTGAAATCTCCAAAATGTCCTCGACAAATACACCAAAAAAATGTCAACTTTAGTTAATAAAGATATCACCTGCAAGAAAGGAAATCTTGGGGATTTCAATTGAAATTCCATTAAAAAATAGGTCAAAATGGTTAACTGCAACTAGAAACCTCTTCAGAAATGATTTTTTTTATAAACTGAACTTTAGAAATGGTTTTTGTAGTTTCACACTACTTTACATGTGGTTTTTGTGGGGGAAAAAAATCGTACATATAATTTACATCTACTATTAGGGTCCATTTAGTCCTACATTGATTATATGTGTGACTTGATATTGGTCTATAGGAGATTTGGATTCCCTCCCTTTACAAGCTTACTTTTAAGGATGAGTTCTCCTGGGTCCCCTACAAATGATATCAGAGCCGATCCCACCTTCTGATTGCAATCGAGCGACGCGGGTGGTCCTGGGACTAATTTAGTGCAAAGCCAAAGGGATAGCATCAGAATTGCAGTGTTCTACTAGGATTAGACTGGTGCAAAGCCGACCCACATGGGCGTCGGGATCGAAAGCGTGGTGGTATGTTAGGATCCCTTTAGTCTCACATCGGTTATATGAATGACTGGATTTATAAGGGATTTAGGTTCCCTCCCGCTACAAGATAGCTCTTAGGGGTGAGTTCTCCTAGGTCCCTAAAATCTACTTTGGGTGATCAAAGTAGATATCATCTTCTCTGAAAGAACGCAATATAGAGAAGTTTCCTCTACATTAAAAAAAAAGAAAAAAAAAGGAAAAAGATCAGTAGTCACCTAATTGCAAAGAGAAAAAACAATACAGAGAACGCAGAGAATGATGTGCCGGGCCAAAATGGACCAAACATTAACTCAACGTAACCAACTAAAATTGAGAATTGAAAAAATTTTAGCCAGGCAGATACCCTACCAATATTCCATTAACTCAACATAACCAACTAAAAATTGAGAATTGAAATTTTTTAACCAGGCAGATACTCTACCAATGTTCCTGCTTCCTTTTCTCAATCAAAGTTTTCATAACATACATATTTACGTGTATCCTTCTGCACATATGATATCTAGGCTTATATGCTACCGTGTTATTCTTGATAGTACCTGAGAATGATCAGAAAGCAACCGCTTCCTCTGGGAAAATATACAAAAACAGCAGCCATCACATACGAACAACTCAAGCATGTAATTATCAAACATTTCTCGAGTATGTACATGAGAAAGAAGATTACATTGATACAGAAAAATCTCTCATCAGAATGATATAATTCATCAGAATGCTGGTAGGTGGCGGAAAGCCGAAAAATCACCTACTTCAAAATTTTCAACTTAAGATAAGGCGATGATCAACGAACAGGAGCCAATTCCGGTGCATTATCTTCAAAGAGGGTTTTATAGCTTAACCCCCTTGCAACGTCAAAGAAATGAGCAACTGCTTCTTCTGGTGTCTTAACAAGGACTCCATGACCAAGATTAAGTATGTGTCCCCTTGGTCCAGCACTCTTCACCACCCTGGCAAATTTAGTAGACATTATGATTAAGAGTGTAAAATGATTCAAGAAACAATCAAATTGTAGATGAAAGGATGATGGAGAAAAGTAACGAAGGTGACCTGATTGAAATACGAAAACAATAGTAGTTCATAAAACACTACGTGTAGTACAACAATGTCCATCATCTTAATTTCTCTTATTGTAGAAATATATTTGGTTGTGGACTATAAGGTCAGATGTAAATGTGGACAATTTCTAATGACATAATGTCAATCTCACATCAACCTCTTAAGGTGATCCCCACCTTGACATAAATTTTCGGGAAAGTTCCTTTATCTCTATAGAAAACAATATAGGGCCCCTATAGAAAACAATATAGGGCCCCCTACAGAAAAAATAACACATAACACTACCAAACCAGTGCAAATATTATAGAAAACCAATGCAAATAGCTAAAATACCAGTGCAAACAAACTAGTGAATGAGTACAAACAATACAAAAATCCATGCAATCACCAATGTTACGATACGTAGCGAAACATCTATCACTTTCTTTGAATTTTAGGAGTCCAGCTGGCAAGTATGAGAAAGTATCTTATACAAACAATTGAACGAACTCATGTCACCAAAGACTAGTTCTTGTGATTTTTTTGTACTAGAAGGGAGTCGAGAAAATAGATTACAGAATAACTTTACTATAGCAAAACAACTCAAACTTTAAGGCATGACTTCAAGCAACAAGATTAACAGAAATTTTTTTTTAAAAGTTAAAGATATAACATAACTAAGCTGCAGTATCATCTCTGTTCCCTGCCTCTATAAAGCTCCAAAGGCATCATGTTAATTTAGATTATCAAACTGAGCAATCACATGAATGAGCTATTTATAATTTTCAACTCAACAGAACATATGAATGGTGGGAACCTATAAAAGATAAAGGAACTCAAAAAACATCACATAAACTACTAACCTGTGGATTTCATCGGTTAAAACTGGAAGTGGGGCAAATAAATATGCAGGATCGACATTTCCTTGAACACTGATGTTACTACCGAGCCTTTTCCTACCATCTGCCATGTCCACTGTCCAATCAAGTCCTATGACATCAACTCCAACTCCCTTCATTCTTTCAAGCAGCCCGCCATTACCATTTATATACAAAACCAAAGGTATATGAGGGCATGCTTTCCTCGTTGTGTTCACTATCTGTGGATTGAAAAGGAATGATTAGTGACCAAAACAACATTAAAATGGGGTAAACTTCATAAATCCCATGAACCTTTGGGTGTTTGCACAAAACCACCCTAACATCTATAAATTGGACAAAACCCCCTGAACTTGTTCTCTAAAATACTATGGTTGATGGCAGCTAATTAAAGTTGTCATGTAATCCGCATGTGACATGTCTTTGAAATTTTTTCCCTTGAGTACTTTTTTACTTTTATGGAGAGGCAGTTTCGCAGATTAGGGTTAATAGATATTAATGAGCAGTTAAGACATTTTACCCTTCACATTAACGGTGTTTATAACAATTTCCAATAGTCAGGGGGTTCTATATAGTCCATATTTTAAGTCCACTAAACTGGTCAGATTACCT